TTTTTTTTGTTTTTTTTTTTTTTGATCGCTTTCGAATGGTACAGGCAATAACTCTTCGATGATTCTCGGAGATGACTAATAAAGAACTGTTCGATGAAATGTCATAATCTCCCTATTTTCGGAGTGAAGGTCCGATTTGCAAACAGTCGAACTGAAGGTTTCAAATAGCATTGATCGAAGCAAAGCTTGTGTATCGAAAGGTCTGCTGGATACACAGCTATAAAATTTTTCCATATCTTTGGAAAAAAAAACAATCCGATTTTGTGAAAGATTTTTGCAAATATGTTTTATTGCGCTCACCAACATATTTTTTTTTCAGTGATTGCCCTGTGATGGCTCTGACAGCTACTGCCACTAAAGTGGTTAGAAAAGATATAATTGATAGTCTGGAATTGATCAACCCGGTTGTCGTTTGTACTGGATTTGACAGGTGATTATTAGAGACCTTGCCATGAATTTCGTATAGTTGTCAACTAGGCCATATTTGGGCTCCGCTTTCACAATCCCTTTTACACTATGAAATTTTTCAGGAGAAATCTATACTTATCGGTTAGTCAAATGACTTCCATGAAAGATGATCTCACTAAGCTTCTAGTTGCCGAAGATAATGTGCTGGTGGGGGTCTTTATTCTTTTTAATGATTCGTTCCGAATTCTCCATCTTTTCTACACTGAATCATTTGGTTCGTAGAGGATGCGCCTTACATTTCTAGGGACGACATTTTGGTGGTGCTACCATCATTTACTGTCAGACGCGAGCTATGGTAGAATCGGTTCATGAGTATCTTAGAGGTCAGTTCCTTGTCGCGAAGAAAACTCTTCCACTTATATTTTTCTGTATTATTCGTAATGCTTAGAGTCATGTTTATGTGAAGTCGGGGGACAGAAAAGAAAATTCCGGCCGTTGCGCTATTAAAAATGTAGATGCAGACACTAGAAAACTTTTCAGATTCCCATGCGTTTACATCTGCCTTATTTGATTTTCTGGACTGAAGTTGAACAAATTTAAAAATTCACTCGTTCAGGCACGTGCTGTTCTTATTGCAGGTAGAGGCGTGAAATGTGCTATGTACCATGCCGGCTTAAGTGATAAGGCGAGAAACGATGCACATCACGGTTTCATCCAAGATAAAGTTGGCCTTCCTATTTGGATATAATTAAATGAATTTCAAGGTTGATTTTTGATATTTTCATACTGCTCATTTTTCAGTACACTACTATAGTTGCTACGGTAGCCTTCGGTATGGGAATAGATAAATCAGATGTGCGCAAAGTGATACATTGTGGAAGTGGGTTTTTTCTTTGAATTTACCCGATTTTGAATATTTGGTGTCATTAACGTTTCAAAACTGACTCGGGTGGGAGGGAATTGGCTTTCAAAAAGGCTAAACTTTATGATCATTCCATGGGCCAACTGAAATGGCCGGATGATGGATGATTCCCCTTCAATTCTGATATTATCATTAGGAGCATCTTCAACCTAGTTCCAATCAGGGGTTTTAGTTTGGTATAAGTTACCTTCTTTTTAATTGGTTGTGGAGCTGCTGGGAAGTGAATGCATCCTCCACCCGCAGGTCTAACGGCAGAGTTTTAATAGCCGTGTGAAATAATGATTGTTTAGGTCCAAAGGATATCGAAAGTTATTACCAGGAAATCGGTCGTGCTGGACGTGACGGTGATCCAGCACACTGCTATGTTCTTTGGACGCAAAAGGATATAGTTATGAACAGGTTTGCTTCATAGCCGAGATTTGATGGTATCCCATTGCTGTACGGAAAATGTGTTTTCAGGGCCCGTATTAACAATTCGATGAAGGAACCATACCTTTCGCATGCCTACGAGATGATCCGAGCGATGGAAGAGTTTTTGAGTTCAATGCGATGTAGACGCTAGTAAGTTGATACCTGGCTAATGCTTCTAATTTTTGCTCCATTCATCATTCCTGGTATAAGCGATTGAAGTGGGTGGGGCGAAAAGGTTTAGATGGCCTCTAGGGATGCCTACAGTCGTGTTCAAAGCACCCTCTATAGCTTGACCGTCACCTTGATTTTATAAACTGCGACTAGGAAATTCTGTAGTCAGGGATATTGTTGCTTATGCCCGTCTATATGGATTTATACTATCCTTATTGATATTGATCTTCCTTCTTACTCAATGGATATACGTCTTTAAGCTTGCTTCTGAGCCACTTCGACACATCTACACCGGCTCCCTTGAATCCCCAAACCGACTGTTGTGATAATTGTGACTGGCAGATGAACAATCAGCAGGTGAATAGGGGGATAATCATGGTATTAGTCCAAAAAAGAAAATAAAACCTATCGAAATTCAGAGCTCGTCATCAAAATGTATTGACGTGGGCAAAGAGGCACGTTGGTTGTTCCATGCTATCCATGAAGTCTACGGAGGCAACAGTGGTTTGGGCAAGCCGGTGGATTTCGTTCGAGGGCTGGCGAGTGTCGTACCTAAACGAATTTTGGCTTATATTGAAAGTAGCATTGATGATAATGTTTCAACAGGAAAAGGAAAAAAGTCGAGGTCGTGGATCCAATCAGAAGATTTTTGGTATTGGTAAAGGAAGAAGCGACAAGTGGTGGAAGGCTCTTGGTTGGTGGATATTGATTAAAATTGGATTTAATTGTCGTTAAAAACTTATGTACGGCTCTAGATTGAAGTGAGGCCATTTGGGTCCCCTTCTGAGGTCGACTGCTCGATAGCTAATTGCTCTGGTAGGCTGAAAACCTACCCGTTTGAATGAACGTTGTTCGGAAGTCATACTTAGAAACATACTCTGTCAGTCTAGGAATCAGTCAGATGCGTGGCGCAGTTCCTCAAAGATGTCTGGTTTTGTTTATACAACAAATATGTTTATCAGGTGCACAACTGCGTATACACGGCTGGTTGGTAGAAATCAAAAAGGGAGATATGGTATATGGTGCATGTGTGAAGCTGTCGGAAAAGGCGAAGAAGTGGTACTTGGCTAATAATGAGGTACGGTAATGATCAGCATGCGCTCTACAAGTTTTCATGGGAATCAAGGTGAATTCTTTCAGACATTGATGATCGAAGCGTCTCCTATCCTTGTGGCAGCATCTGTAGCGAAGAATAAGGTTACGATAGCTGCTGGCGAATCTGGGAAGGCCACGGTGGAGGTGGAAGATGAGCCCAAGCGGTGCGTCATTGTGTTGGTACAGCACAAATATCGGTTTGCATGAACTGTAATGTGGGTTTGTAAAGTTATATTACGTCTGAGGTGCTTACAGGAGGATCCTCGGAGCGACCCGTCTGCGAAAATACTTATCAGCTGCTGCTTACCCTTCACTTCAAGTACAATTCGACAGTACACTTCCGAACCTTCCACTGGTGAGTTTCCTGCATCCATATAATTTATTTGTCACCGTGCCGCAATTAATACAATTAACAAAGCATCAGGTGGAAGAACTCCGTCGGGTGCTGGATAACGTCCGAATGGAGTTGGCAAAAGAGTACGACTGTGGACCGTTCCAAATCGCATCGAATAAGGTCCTCGACCAACTAGCTAATATTCGACCGAATAGGTGAGTATAACAAACCTGAATATTTTCTGTTGTATTCTACTCGTCCAGCGTATTCTTTTCTTCGACATTGCCTAGATCTTGTCACCGCTAGCTCTCCCAGTCTTACCACGCCCTCCGAAGTAGGTCGAACACTTTTTAATCTGTAGTCACTTACTGTCTGGCTGTGTCGTAATTAATTAGATTAGTAGGGCTGGGAAGGGGTACGAAGCAAAAATGGGTGTTTACCAGACTTGCGTTAACCTTTGAACGTTTATTCTGTCTATCCAATCTTTCAAAGAGGTCAGAAATATAATACTTAGATTGGAATTTGCAAAACCTCAATCATGCATATCAGTATTACTCAACTGTATTCACGGACTTACGAGTGCAAGTCATTGATCGTGCGGTTCAAGTGATTACCAGAACTATCTGGTCCTATACTATCTCAGCACGACATAAATTCAAAGATTGCGACATGTAAATTGTGCCTTTAGGGTGTCACATCTCAGTTGTTCTAAGGAGAACTATTTTTTCAGTGTAGCTGCTTTGGAGTCGATCTCGGATCTGCCTGTTGAAAGACGCCAACGCTTTGGGCAGCGTTTCACCGATTGTATTAAAGAATTTGCCGCTGCACACAACCTTGACACCAATGTCTCCACTTCATCAACAGTAAGTCTCTATATTGCCAAGCATGTTTTTTTTTTGGGCGCTGAATGATGGGTGCAACCCATGTCTGGCTCATTTTTCAACTGTTTTCTTTTTGAAGATCCCATCAGAACTCCAAGAGACAATGGCCCGACTTACACCCACTGTCCAGCAATCCTACAGAGCACATTTGCTGTCCGCGGCTTCTATTGTGAGTAAGCTCTTCAAGTTTCTCCTTTTATTTTTGGACAGTTCAATCATTTCAACAACTTAATCCCTTTCAGTCGGATATATCAAAGATGCGGTGCATTAGCGAGTCAACAACATGGGGAAATTTGTGTTCCGCCGTGGAACTGGGACTTCCACTTCACTTGGATAAGTTAGGCATCGATAACAACCTCATTAGCATTGTGTACGACGCCGCGAGAGAGAAGCTGGGTGGAGGTAAGAGTCGCTTTTTGAAAATGTTCATTGTCAAAAGTTTCTGATTTTGATCAAATTTGATTTCCCTTTCATGAACAGTATCGCTGTGAAATGTAGTAGGTGACAGATTGTTGTAGATAGATTGGCCGAAAAACAATTTTCTCGGCTAACTGCAGTGGTTTCTTTTCCATAAATTTCTTTTCTTAGGGTTTGCAGGGAACACCTCTCACATACAGTACCGATTAAAAAATTTTTATTTGTTGATTGGCTTACTTTTAAAGCCTCTGAGCAGCCTAAAAGTACGTTCAAAAACCCAGTTGAGTGTGTATGGTACACCAGGAGAAGATGTGGTTGTACCGACGATTTTGTTTACTTAATTTTACCGTCTCCAGTGCTCTCAATGAACAGCAAGGGGAATGATTGAGTAAGAAAGCTGATCAGTGGAAATCAGACCAACTTTTTTCTCAATTTTGTTATCGTCAGTGTCTCTTCAGATGTCTATCGACTGAAACAGCTAATGGAAGCGTTACCTCCGGACTTCATCGACTACAATCGTCTGAAGATAATCAGAGCAATCTTGTTGTGGGAATATGAGGCCAATACTACTGAAACTTCGTCATCAGGTACAATGGACATTCTGATACAGGCTTAGAATCGCGGCACGTGAAATGTATGTCAATGATTCAATCCAGAGCAGGAACGAAAAGTTTTTAGACGTACACTTGTGGTGCAGTCCTTTTTTCATGCATAAAAAATCAATTAAAGTTACCGTATTGAGTTCAAATTGTTGAGTATTCCAATTCGATTAGCCTGTAGAGAAGTCTATCGAACATTTGTTCAGTTCTATCTTGGGTACTGGTGGCATGGTTAGCATTCGTTCTGGACAGGGTAAGCTTGAGGGTTTTGAGATAATCAGTCTATTCAGGCATCAGTAACCTAGTTCCAGAAAATATTTGCTTTCTATAAGATCCCCAGAGAGGCATTCGCTCATCATAAGGAGCTTGAAAGAAAGGAAGCGTTTTTTTTTTCGAACAACAAGCCTTCAAACCCGAAGCTGACAGTGCTGCTGTCGGTCACTAGGCTTATTTTGTTACTTTATTTTTGAACATTTTATATGAGCGTCATTTATCGGGTAGTAAATAAGTTTGACAAGCTAGTTGTAAAATAGCGGCAAAGACATCAGCACAGAAAACTGACAGTCTTCAGAGATCTTTTTGTGTTTTCCGCAAAGAACGCGTAATTCCTCTGTCAACATTGTTTTGTTGTTGAAGAAAATGGCCTGTTCGTCCGATATAAAACCCTATTCTGCGCAATTACCACCTGCTTTTCCGAATGATTGTTTTTAGTTTCTCTCTGTTCATATGAAATTATTTTTACTAATGTTTTTTTTCTGTTACAGCCTCCACTAGCGAAGATTCTAACTCATCCAAAACAAATGACGCTTCACAAAAACCTGCTGTGCCATCATGGATGCTGAATGCCGTTCCCGCTCCACCACAGCCGAAAAAGAAGAAAATATTCCTATGAAACCGTTTTTGTATACTTGGGTGTTACAATACCGGTTCCATCATTCGATTTGCTTACTTGATTTCCTCGGTGTTGTAGTGAGGCCATCATTTATTTTCCAACGAATTTCATCGGTACCCTCCAAAAATGGTTATGTATTGAATGTAAAGCTTGTAAGAGCTTTTCGAACATCTCACTTGTTTTTTCTCTTTTGGAACTGAAAAAGATTGAAACGGGTCCTGTCACAGTTTGACCTTCGTCTATCGATCTCTCCCTGCCCTTGCTCATCGAAAAATTTTCCACCATCGTCTGCCTCCGTGCCTTTTTTTAATATAATAGTTTCGATATTTTCAATGCTTTATGGTATTTACAACAAGTTTATGAATGTTGTGGTAAAACTTCGCTGACTGTATCTGCATATTATGTTGTTCTTGTGCTTCCAGGGGGAATTCTTTTTACAGTAAGAATTCACTTCGATGGTTTTTCTCTCATTTTTCATTGACATACCACCCTAAGGATTGAATGAGTTTTTCCTTGAAAGTCTATCGGTGCTTAGGACTAGTTACTTTCGCAAACCAAAGGAGACCGAGGTTTTTAACCCTTCTTTTACACCCAGTTTGTTGAAAGTTATCTGACGTAGCAGAGCTGATTAACATGCATTCTATCTGTTTTTTACTAAAGTTCTCCTTGAAGGTGGCTACTGAAGCCTTCCTTCGAAATTGGATTGAGAAAACGCTGATCCGGTAGAGAACATCTTCAGGCCTGGAGGAAATAAGTTTCAGCCGTTTTCTGTGGCCTGTAAGTTAAGGATGACGTCTTTCCCTTCTCACTGACTTCATTTTATGGTTGGCTAATGCTCCACACTGCTTCAAACTACAAGTGGAATGTATGCTCACTCATCCTTCCAGGATTTCTCGTCCTTAAGAGGGCGGGATAGTAACGAGAGGGCGTGGTTGTGATGTCATGCTAGACGTCATAGTTATCACTCCTTGGCTATAAATAGATTTGAGTGTAGTTAGATTTCCTTTTCGTCATGGACGCTGCCGAAAATTGACAACATTTATAGCAGAGGAGTACATTACGATATTCAAGCAAAGACTGAGGTTTTTTGTTTTCTCGAATAGCTCTGTCTGGTCTCGTACAAAATTATTGTCAGTAGAGTTTTCAGTAGTACAACAGCAAGGCGTTTCATTTTGTGTCGAAGATGCTGGATGTGTTAATCAGAAATGGTTTTCAAAGTCATTTATCAATTAATTCAGCTGTTAGAATCCCCTTTTAGAGTCATTTTGTTACTAATTTTTACTACGACCTCTACTTTTCCTTCGATTTCTGCTCCTTTCCAGCTCGGTTCACTCTGTCTGGAGGCCTATCACTTCCTTCCGGGTGACGTGAAGAGGCAAGGGACTGTGACTGCGACTGCTGACGGTCCCTTTCAATCGGTTTTATAGGAATTTCTCTTCTTCTTGAGTGGTCTGCAGAAGGATTGGAAGGAGTGGATCGAGATTGATCTTGAGAATCTTGAGATTCCGCTGATTGACGTCGAGGTGGATAGCCTTCTTGTGGATTTCCTTGGGGTGGATAACCTTCAGGTGGATAAGGTGGATATGGGTAGCCTTCAGGTGGATAGTATTGCGGATTATTGCCGTATGGTGGATAAGGACCAGGTGGATACTGCGGTACTGGATATCCTTCGTAGGGCTGGGGGTAAGGATAGTAACCAGGCGATGCTTGATCTGGATAATAGTAGACATCATGTGGGTAAGGTGATCCTCCGTAAGGTGATCCTGGGGGTTGTTGTCCTGAAATATGTCATCTAGAAACGCGTCATGCACTTGACTTTGATCCGGAATTGAAAGGATCATCAAAAAGGAATACTCAAAGGCTTTCACGCCCAGCAAGTGTTCCAGTTGGAACTTTTGTCTTTTCAGTCGTTTTTGAGATCGTTCAGCCGTCGTCAAGTAAGACTAGCAGAACCTGTTATCCTGGCCCGTCTCCGATCTATAGACCGTTGATGTAGTGACATCTATCCTTCCCCACTATTCCACCTCCCCAGGGATTTCTTTCGAGCTCATAGGATCGAGATTCTTGCGCATTGGCCAATTTACCCTTTTTTGGATTCATCCATTTTCCCTACATCAAGTTGGGACTACGGGACAGCATTCCTTGCCTTCAAAGGCTTACTTCACGATGGAAATGGTTTTCTAGTTTCCTCCCTAGGATAATTTCTGACTTATAAGAATAGCACAAAGCACGCTGTCTACTTGAAAATTTGCCTGGATAGTCTAATATAAGGGCCCCAAAACTGGCTAGGTCGACGTACACACCCTAGACGGACGAGTTCTCACGGCGTTACGGAGGCTGTAGGGGTCACACTATTCGCACCGGGTTGCACACGTTGCACGCACGCAGCTTACTGTAGTCACCGTACGTAACAGCACGCGCACATTGAGACAGCTCGTCCGAATACTCCTTCTATGCAAGTTTTGTCGTCACATTCTCGTCCAACCCCTTATTTTACGACTTTTTTGAAGCTTTTTATTTCTCTAAATACGCCATTTTTCACGTTTTCTTAGCTTTTTTTTGCCCTATTCTGGGCTGTCACTCCTCCACTATCCCCAAGATTATCGCGAGCTGTACCTACTTTAAAATATTTTAAGGATTGATTTTGGTCAGATCTCGTTTTTCCAGAGTGTTGAGTGAAACAATAAGTGAAATTAGTGCTCACCGCCAGCACCGCCAGTGTTGAATCCTTTCGATAACATAGGGCATAGACAACAACAACAAAGGAGTGCGAGGAGCACGACAGCGACTATTCTGAAAGTAAACATTGTTTTCCTGATTTCGCTTTGAATCATGACTGGCAAATCTCAAAACTACCAACGCAATCACGATGCCAATAGTTTTCATTTTACTTTCCACAGGACAACATTCAGTACCACAGCATTGTTCAACTTCTCTACGACACGCCCAGGTGAATACTTTTGGACTTGAACCATTTTTATATCGTAACTGTAAAGAAAATCAGTAAGCTGTCGTTGTAAATGTCTGGGAATTTAGGCCAGTCATCGTTGAAGTTGGGAGATCTCCTGCATGAGTGATGCGAAATGCCCGGCCCGTAAAGAAAATGGAGGATTGATCACGAAAGGAACAGTTCCGGAAGAAAACTCGGTAAGTTTTTGGGTGTTCTACTGTAACTGTACGATGTAGCCGATACCCCATGAGCGATGCGGCGGCCGCGGGCGCCGCGCTTCGCATTCGCGGCGTCGCGCGGCTCTTCCGGATGTCACGCACGGCGGGCAACAACCGTGCGCGGCACTCATGCGGACCTAATATTACAACCCATCTTTTGTTTATTTCATTCCATTGTCAAAAACTGGCTCTTATTTGTCTTTAAAGATACCCACATTGTCCAGAAGCTCGCCTGGGCTCATTTTGGGAGGAGAAGTTGAACTTGTAGGAAGTGAAGTTGTGCTTGCCGAGCTATTATCTGCAGATCGCTTCGCCTTTTCCTGGTCTTTAGACAGCTGAAAGTTTCTGATTATTCTCTCATGCTATTTTAAATTTGTATTAATTTTTCCTCTCGTTTCAATTATTCGGATCTGGGATGATGGCATTCCACATATGGTTAGGTAATACCCTGACCAACATCCACCTAAGTGAAGCCGAGAGTCGAGTCGAGCCTCCAATTAAAGTGGGACTGATTTAACTCGGAAACTTCATCTTTTTACTTTCTTTCCACGATTTTACTTCTATTTACTTTCCCATTTTCTTACTGAGACAATCTGAAAGTGCCACAAAACTCGACTCCAAACCTTCCCCCCCCCCCCCCCCCCCCCCCCCCCCCCCCCCC